TAGTCAGGGTTCTAGTCATATAAAAAATATGTAAAGAAACTTATTTTATAAAATGACCTTGTATGATTATCGAGGCTAGAAAGTCCCAAGATTTGGAGTGGGTCAGCAAGCCAGAGACCCAGGATGGCCAATGATGAACCTCTAGACTAAGGCCAACAGGTCAAGACCCAGGAAGAGCCTGCGTTTCTGCAGGAAAGAGCTTTTGTCCCACTTTGAACTCGGGCAGGAATTATTCTCTCCTACTTGGGGGAGGACAGCATTTCTGTTCCATTTGGGCTTTTAATCTATTGGATAAGACTCACTCACATTAGGAAGGGCAATTTGTTTTACTCAGTCTGGAAAAAGCATTGTTGTACACTATAAATATAAATGTGATTAAATGTAAAATAAAGTAAAATAAATTTATATGCATGAAAGTATTGCATACAAATTGGGTTGAAGTTAAAAGAAAACCATGCCATTTCATTTTACTTGTCATACTTAACATGCTTATTTCATTTCTAAAGCTGCTTCATTAAAATTATTTAACTACAACTTTATGCTAAATAATTAAATTTTGAAATTCATATCTGGAGTTCTTTGTCACAATGGGAGAAGTTGGCTTAAAGACATATAAAACAGGGACCAGCAGTTAGCTTAATGGCTATGTCGCTGGACTCCCATGTAGCTGACCGCTGTTTGAGTCCCAGACGTGGTGGCTTAAACTCACGCCGGGTGTGTGCATGCATGCCCAATTTCCCAAGTGGAGAATAGAGGAGAAGGGATTGTGGCATGGTCATCTCTTCTGGGGGGTGATTTTTCACTTTCTCTCTCTGTCTTCCTGGTGAGCGCACAAGCCCTATAGTAAAAACCTCTCCAAAAATAAAAAGAAAAAAGAAAAGAAAAAGACAAATAAAACAAAAGAAGAAGAAAAAGGAGGATTACATGCATATTGTTGACAGACAGGTCTTACACACCATCTCCACTGTCAGACTCGGAGTCTCACGAACCCTCTACAAACATAATACAGTGGCGTCTAGAGCCTCTCCTGCCTGGCCTGGCCTGAAGAGCGCGATGAAATGATACCATTTAGCTCTGTGACGTGGGCCCTGCTATTACAGAACAGGAGGACAGGAGGCTGAGCTGCTGAGCCACTCGCCCAGACTTACTCAAGGACCACGTAGCCGATTGGGGTTTTACCTGCAGAGTTTGACTACACTCTGAAATCCAGGGCGTTTCCTTAAAACATGGGGCACCTAACATAGGAGTCACTGAGTAACTCCATATCACCAAAAAGACAGACAGACAGACAGAGTGAAAGGAATGTCTCTTTGGAGTGCTAAAAAGATCATCTACTTAAGAAGCCATTTTTTTCTTTTGCTGTCAGAAATTCTATTGGGCCTCTGTAAACGTAAACAGGCACTTGGGCTTTTGTTGGTTGGATTTTCATTTCATGTATTCATTAGTGCAGTTAAAAGTAGAAATGAGCTACCTTTCTAGGGGCAAACAAAGCCCCGTATTTACCAATGAAAAGCAAGTAATATTTATTTAGTATAGACGAAATTACAAGTAAACCAGTGGAAGACTTGCACTTCCTGTTTTTATTTTGAGCACTGTTTATTGCTATGAGACTCCTGGCTGGCTGCACGTGCATACGTGTGTGTTACGAGTTTTACTAAAGGTTAATTTGTGCAGTAACTGACGAAAGGTGGAAAGCCTAATGAAGCGCGAGTGTGACATCACTAACCGGAAGGAACTGGTCGTGGTACAGCACGTGCACCCGACATCACGGCGGAGCCTGCCTAGAAGGTGCGTTAGCACCAGCAAAGCACGGTCTGTCTTTCAAGTCACTCTGGTGCTGTTTTCCCCAGACTAAAAAGGAGTTGGCTGAACCTTGCTGTTAGTGCAGTTCTTTTCTCTAACGGGCTACAGCAGACGCTGTTTGTTTCCTTGACACTAAACCAACATCCTTCTCTCCAGTATTCCTCTGCGTTAGGAATGTCAATGCCAACCAAGGCTTCCCAGCCTCCTTTGCAGGTAGTAGTAGCCAATGACTCTGGCAATTAATGCTTATTGAGATGCAGGCTGAGACCGACTAGCCAGGGTTCTGGGGGGGAAGATTGTCCATTAAAAAGAGGTTCTAGGCATGAAAGAAAAAGCCTTCTCCCTATTCCCAGTTTTTTTTGCCTACAATGCATGTATGGTTTTTGACAGCTCAGCTCCATTTTGTGTCTCAGGGACAACTATCAAGATGAAAAGGCAATGAGCTTACTTAGAACGGGACAAGGAAATGTAGAAAAAGCCTTTGGGCTCCTGATGGCGGTGTGGAACTGCTGGTCCAACACTAGAACCTTCTTATTACATGAGGAAAATGAACCTTATTGTGTAAGCATGTCTGGCTTAACACTCTGCTACTCACAAGGGAAGTATTGCTAGTCGGCGCAGTGATGTGACTTCATTTGCTATGAAGCCTATGATGTCACAAAGACAATGATTATGAGTCATGAGTCAAGAATGATATTTTGAATAGAAGGATATTGATAATAGCATAATAACTATAACAGTAGAGTTTCACAATAAAAGAATAATGGCAAATATAACTATAATCAGTAAGAATTAAGAAGCTACTGCTGCTGGACCAACCAGTGACATGGATCCCACATGGCCAACTGGGTGATTTGAGCCCTGCATCTAACAGCCTGAAAAACAGCCTGGGCAAGTATGTGTACATGCCCCAAATCCTTAGAGAGGAATGGAGGGAGGAGAGGGAGTGTGGTGTAGCCTTTCCTTGATAGGAGGTATTTTCTCACTCTCCCTTTCTCTTTCTGCCTCTCTCTGGTGAGTATAGCAATAGCAATTTTTTTAAAGGCCACTGTTGGTTATTACTGTAATAATAACTGTAGCCATAAATGAAGAATATGTTGAAAGAAGAGCAGTTCTTGGGGTTGGGAACACATCAATAGAATGGAAGTACAACTGAGAAAATAAAACTTCCAATACAACGTTTATCATACAGAAGTGAGTCACCAACTGGGGTGCCCAAAACCCACCAAATGCACAACATCGTCCATCTTCTCACTCACATAGGGTATGCAGACTGAAGTCCCAATGGGATATACTGCAGGCCCACCAGAACGATGAAGACAGAAGGTATAAACGGTACTAACTGCTGGGGAGATGTGGAGCAATCAGAACTCTCACACATCACTGGGGAGAGTGTATACGGGTACACACATTCTGGAAAACTACATGAAAATGTATACTAAATATAAGCATACTCTTACCTTCGGTTCACACTTTCTCTCTCTGTCTTCCTGGTGAGCGCACAAGCCCTATAGTAAAAACCTCTCCAAAAATAAAAAGAAAAAAGAAAAGAAAAAGACAAATAAAACAAAAGAAGAAGAAAAAGGAGGATTACATGCATATTGTTGACAGACAGGTCTTACACACCATCTCCACTGTCAGACTCGGAGTCTCACGAACCCTCTACAAACATAATACAGTGGCGTCTAGAGCCTCTCCTGCCTGGCCTGGCCTGAAGAGCGCGATGAAATGATACCATTTAGCTCTGTGACGTGGGCCCTGCTATTACAGAACAGGAGGACAGGAGGCTGAGCTGCTGAGCCACTCGCCCAGACTTACTCAAGGACCACGTAGCCGATTGGGGTTTTACCTGCAGAGTTTGACTACACTCTGAAATCCAGGGCGTTTCCTTAAAACATGGGGCACCTAACATAGGAGTCACTGAGTAACTCCATATCACCAAAAAGACAGACAGACAGACAGAGTGAAAGGAATGTCTCTTTGGAGTGCTAAAAAGATCATCTACTTAAGAAGCCATTTTTTTCTTTTGCTGTCAGAAATTCTATTGGGCCTCTGTAAACGTAAACAGGCACTTGGGCTTTTGTTGGTTGGATTTTCATTTCATGTATTCATTAGTGCAGTTAAAAGTAGAAATGAGCTACCTTTCTAGGGGCAAACAAAGCCCCGTATTTACCAATGAAAAGCAAGTAATATTTATTTAGTATAGACGAAATTACAAGTAAACCAGTGGAAGACTTGCACTTCCTGTTTTTATTTTGAGCACTGTTTATTGCTATGAGACTCCTGGCTGGCTGCACGTGCATACGTGTGTGTTACGAGTTTTACTAAAGGTTAATTTGTGCAGTAACTGACGAAAGGTGGAAAGCCTAATGAAGCGCGAGTGTGACATCACTAACCGGAAGGAACTGGTCGTGGTACAGCACGTGCACCCGACATCACGGCGGAGCCTGCCTAGAAGGTGCGTTAGCACCAGCAAAGCACGGTCTGTCTTTCAAGTCACTCTGGTGCTGTTTTCCCCAGACTAAAAAGGAGTTGGCTGAACCTTGCTGTTAGTGCAGTTCTTTTCTCTAACGGGCTACAGCAGACGCTGTTTGTTTCCTTGACACTAAACCAACATCCTTCTCTCCAGTATTCCTCTGCGTTAGGAATGTCAATGCCAACCAAGGCTTCCCAGCCTCCTTTGCAGGTAGTAGTAGCCAATGACTCTGGCAATTAATGCTTATTGAGATGCAGGCTGAGACCGACTAGCCAGGGTTCTGGGGGGGAAGATTGTCCATTAAAAAGAGGTTCTAGGCATGAAAGAAAAAGCCTTCTCCCTATTCCCAGTTTTTTTTGCCTACAATGCATGTATGGTTTTTGACAGCTCAGCTCCATTTTGTGTCTCAGGGACAACTATCAAGATGAAAAGGCAATGAGCTTACTTAGAACGGGACAAGGAAATGTAGAAAAAGCCTTTGGGCTCCTGATGGCGGTGTGGAACTGCTGGTCCAACACTAGAACCTTCTTATTACATGAGGAAAATGAACCTTATTGTGTAAGCATGTCTGGCTTAACACTCTGCTACTCACAAGGGAAGTATTGCTAGTCGGCGCAGTGATGTGACTTCATTTGCTATGAAGCCTATGATGTCACAAAGACAATGATTATGAGTCATGAGTCAAGAATGATATTTTGAATAGAAGGATATTGATAATAGCATAATAACTATAACAGTAGAGTTTCACAATAAAAGAATAATGGCAAATATAACTATAATCAGTAAGAATTAAGAAGCTACTGCTGCTGGACCAACCAGTGACATGGATCCCACATGGCCAACTGGGTGATTTGAGCCCTGCATCTAACAGCCTGAAAAACAGCCTGGGCAAGTATGTGTACATGCCCCAAATCCTTAGAGAGGAATGGAGGGAGGAGAGGGAGTGTGGTGTAGCCTTTCCTTGATAGGAGGTATTTTCTCACTCTCCCTTTCTCTTTCTGCCTCTCTCTGGTGAGTATAGCAATAGCAATTTTTTTAAAGGCCACTGTTGGTTATTACTGTAATAATAACTGTAGCCATAAATGAAGAATATGTTGAAAGAAGAGCAGTTCTTGGGGTTGGGAACACATCAATAGAATGGAAGTACAACTGAGAAAATAAAACTTCCAATACAACGTTTATCATACAGAAGTGAGTCACCAACTGGGGTGCCCAAAACCCACCAAATGCACAACATCGTCCATCTTCTCACTCACATAGGGTATGCAGACTGAAGTCCCAATGGGATATACTGCAGGCCCACCAGAACGATGAAGACAGAAGGTATAAACGGTACTAACTGCTGGGGAGATGTGGAGCAATCAGAACTCTCACACATCACTGGGGAGAGTGTATACGGGTACACACATTCTGGAAAACTACATGAAAATGTATACTAAATATAAGCATACCCCCTAGATATTTATCCTAAAGAAATGCACGAAGGGGTTGGCAGGTGGCATGGTAGTTAAGGTGCTGGACTCCCACATGACTCTGACTGTGGTTCTAGTCCCAAACCTGCAGTTCACTTTCTCTTTCTCTCTTTCTCTGGTCAAATTTAATAATAATAATAGTAACAATAATAAATAAAATCGAATAAATAATTCTTTAAGCAAAAGAAATGCATCTATATGCCCGCTCATGATCTACAAGAATGTTCAAAGCAGCATTATTTCTAGTATCCCTAAACTGAAAACAACCTAAATACCCACGAGCAGAACACATCAATCTATCTGGTATATCCACACAAAGGCACGGTACATAGCAACCAGAACTAGCTTGCACAAATCTCACAAATATAATGTCAAATGAAAAAGAAAGCTCAGCACTAAGCCATGCATCTGGCATGGCATATACCTGTGGGAGTTGATGCTGGTCAAAGCCATCTGCAGAGTCAGCGCAAGGAGAGTGGCTCCCCTCTCAGACTTAGGGGACAGAGGAGCATGAGAGGGATTTCTGGGGTTCTACTGATGCTCTGCTTATGGATATAGGTGCTAGTTTTATAGTTGTGCTCATTATCTGGAAATTTATTCAGCTATATAGTTAAGATTTATAAGATAAAATTGTTAATCTAAAAATATTTATTATAGAATATTCTTGCAAAGAAAAGCTTAGGCAAAAATTTAAGCCTATTAGATCAAACAACAAAAAATCATATCCGTGGTCCATTTGCTGTCAGGACATAATAGAATCCACTCAGGATAGATTTGTGGCAACTAACTAGGGCGTTCTGATCTCCATCCACACTAGACCTTCCAGACAAAGATGAGGGGTCATCGAAAAGTTCATGGAAAACATGTATTATGACAATATGTGAGTTTCAATGTTCCTACCAAATAAACTCACACTTCAATTTCATTTTTCATAAACTTTTTGAAGTTCATGGGGGTAGCAGGAGGAAGAATCACTAATTCGTGCACTCGAGTATTTAGAGTTGGCCAGATGCAGACTCCGCCGTAGATTTGGAGATCTCCACACAGACCGTGCTTTGCCCACCGTTCATTCCTGGTAAAGGCCCACCAGGAAGCTGAGTCCTCTAATTTTGGAAAATTCCATCAGAAATACTGCTGAGACTGTCTCCTATCGCGGTGACTTCCTGAGTCTGTTTCAGTCCGTGAGCCCTACGGTAACTGTGAACTGAACCTGAAGTCCATGAGGGAGCGTGTGTGTGGTGGGGAGGTGGCAGACTGAGAGCGTTCCTCAGAGTGCCGTGGGTCATCTGAGAGACAAGAGTCTAAGTAAAGTGAGCACGGTGAGCATGAGACTACGGGGGACAGAACAGAGGGTGTGTGACCACAGCGGAGGTCTTTCGACCAACGGAAGTCCATGGTCTCCTTTAATGACTTTTTAATTTTTTTTTAAATAAGCTTCTCCATCTTTCCCCAAGATCTCATAATGTAAATGAAGTCAGATGTTTTATTTGCCTGTTTCATATTCTGTCTCTTGTGGTAAATTCATGGGACAAGGCTGACTTATAACAATTTATTTAAGCTCAAGACTGCACCATGGTTATTCTCAATTCAAAGGATTAAGCCCCTCAACACTGGCCCTGATCTCCCCTGGAACATCCTCTCCTCTCCCCATGACAGCTGCTGAGCACCATCTGTGCTAAGAAGGCTCTGACTCAAAACCATCTGCCCCTAGGATGGCTGTGGACTCCCTTCCCATAAGGTCTTTAAAAATAGAAGAGGCATTCTCTTCTGGGGATATGGCTTAGCGCCTACCATGTAAAGATGGTCCCTTCATAAAGAGCATCTGAGAACAATTTATCATCGAGGTTAGCAGTCTGGGCACTACAGCGTCTTCCTCCTCTTCAGGTCAGACTTCTGCACAGAGCATAACTCCCCTTATTAAACAATGCGCTTCCTGCTGCATGGACCTGACAGGCACAACGTCTAAGATTTAGCTCAAGTAATGCCTTCTCTGTAAAACCTTTCTTGTCTCCTCTTCCCAACCTGGAGTTGCATATCCTTTTCTCTGACTTCTCTATCCAAACTTTTAAAGAACATTCTGGTTCATGTCTCTTGGTCCCTTGAGAAGTGTGAGCTCATGAGGGGAGAGATCCTCTCCTCATGACCTGGTCCAGTGACAAGGAGGGCCCCACTGACAGTAAGTATTCAATAATTCTTCACTGGATGAATGTCAGTGACCAGGTGACACTTCAAACGGGGACTTCCGGAAAATGATAACTTTGCCCAAAACACAAAGATCTGGAAATCAAGAAAAGAGACAGAAGTGAAGCCATTCGCCCCTCTTCCACAGCTCGAGGAGAAAGACCCAGGCACAATGCGGCCACTGGGCGTCACCACCCCGCAGGTGGAGGCCAAACGGGAGGCCTACATCTGATTCCCAGCCACCCTGAAAGGCTGGGCGCCATGGCACACCCTGCAGTCTCAGCTACTCAGGAGACCAAGGCAGGAGGGTCACAACATAGAACATAGCAAGACTTGTCCACACACACACACACACACACACACACACACACACACACACAGAGGCGTATTCTCCTGGCCACTTTCCTGGGAACACTATACCCTGTTTAATGGGTTGGAAGCCATTTCTTTTTTTTGGAGAGGTTTTTGCTATAGGGTGCATGTGCTCGCCAGAAAGACACAGAGAGAGAGAGACAGAAAGACAGAAAGTGAGAAATCATCCCCCAGGAGGGACAGCCACGCCGCAATCCCTTCTCCTCCATTCTCTTCTAGGGATCTTGGGCACGCACGCACACCCAGCCAGTGTGAGTTTAAGCCACCAGATCTGGACTTGAACTGCAGTCGGCTACATGGGAGCCCAGCGGCATAGCCATTATGCCAACCGCTGGTCCCTATGGTCAGTTTTGTTTATTTTTGCTTAGCCAACAAGTTGGCCCATTGTTAAAATCGTGTTCTGGAAGTACCACAGCTTAACTTTGGGGTTCCTCTCTGACAGGAGAAAAGCTGTGCTTGACCTAAGGGAGCCGACTCTGTGGGGTTACCACGGCCTCCTGCTGTTTGGAGCTGGTCTGGCACTCAGGAGTTTGAGCAGAAGAAAATGTCACAGAACTCCAATACAAGACAAGCTCACTCTGCTCCCGTGATGGGACTAGATGAGGCTGCCCCGTAATCGTACCAGGACCAGCCAGAACCAACACTGTCAAACCACATTCCCTGTTTTGGTTAAAATGCTTCTTTACCAGCCATAGCCTTGACTGTGGTCTCGTCTCCTTGTTTCTCAGGAAGATGCACTGAGGTGCTCAGGCCCGGAATCGTCTTGAGCTTCCCGACAACATCCAATCCAGTTAAAGCCGTTCTTCCTGAAACCTGCCTTAAAGCCCCGAACCCTGACTCACACCCTATATGTCTTCTATTAAACTCTCGTTCAAGGCTTCCCATGAGTTGGATTTCCCCTCGGGGTAGGGGCGAGTAATGAACCCACGAGTTCAAGTAAATGTGTGTTCTTGGTGGGCTTTGGCTGAAGACCTCAGCAACTCTAATTTCATTGTTCGCTGAAGTACAAAGCTGGCTTCTACAGGGTGCCTAACACTGAAATGCTAAACACTTTTGTTTAAACTATAAACATATATTATTATTCATTATTCATATCATATATTTTGTTGTTCTTCTGTCTCATCTCAGTTAAATAGAATATGTTAGAACCCCTCACAGGAAAAGATGATGGAATAAATTATTTCTAAGGAATAAGAAAAAGGAAAGAACAACTGGAGTTCCTGTTTCCTTCCTCCCCAGACATAGAGGAGGGAAATAGCTTCTGATCGTGGCACTCTGTGGTGAAGACGGCAGATGTAGTCCACCGGAGCAATGGGTTCCCTAACATCCTTCACTGATCACCACAATTTCCACCCGTTCTCCCCACCACATTTCTCCACGGAACTGTCACAATATTTTTCTTCCCACGAAGAATACCAGAGTGCTTTTTCTTCTCAAGTTCTTGTGTTGTATAATGTGACAGGTTATTAAATCAATTTCTCTTCCTCTTTTTAAAATAAGGCACAGCCTCAAGTACAGAAATCCTTCAGAATTAAAGACAGCAGCAGAGGGGTGTTTGCACTGCTTCTGTCCTCACACACGCAGGTGCATGCACACACACAGCCGCTTCTCTCCTGCAAACTCATACACAGTATATTACTACATCAATTATTTAGTGTCATAATATTGGTATGTTACTGCTCTGTGAGTCATATATTACTATATCCATAATTTAAGGGCTTATTAATATGAACTTTGGAGGGGGAAGGACAGAAATGTGATTAGAAACATGTATTCTGTGGCTGAAGTGAAGGAGGAGTATAAAAAGTTGGGGAGTCTATAAATATTTAAATTTTTTTTTAAAGAATTGCCTCCTCTGTCTGACAGTTTGATGGCAGGAACACATTGGTATGATCATTCCAGACAGACAATTGAGTAATTTTTAAAACGTAAAAAATGTGTCTATCCTTTGGCTCAACATTTTCTTCAAGAAAATAATCCTAACTGTTGCTATAAGATATACTCCTAGTAATGTTGATGGCTAACAGCTATTGATAAGTGCGAGGCAGTAATGCGTGTTAAATTCTCGTTACAACCCCAGTGTAGGTCTTCTTGTTGTCGCCATTATAGGGGCGAGAAAATCAAGGCCGTTTACTTCTACAAGATCACGTGGCTGGTAAATAACAGCTGGGAATGGAAGTACAGTGTCTGTGACCAAAGGTACGCTGTTTGAGCACGTTGTCTCTCAGCGTTAGATGTCCACTGTAAAATTATGGTATAACCCCAAACCGAAACCCACCTGCCTACCCCTAGCATTCCCACCAGCCCTCACCCAGCTGCCCACCCACCTGGAATCATTCTTCACTTTCCCTTTTTCTCTTCCACTGCTTACATTCATGGGCAAAGTCTGTGGGGCCTACTTTTTAAACGCAGTTCATTGACAACTACTCTTACCCTCATCACAGGTACCAGCTAATTCAAGCTGCCATATCTCACACCTGAAAACTGCAGTAGCCCCGAGTCATTCCCAGGACTCACGGAGATCTCTAGACACTGTCTGGCATAAGCAGACAGCATTACTTAGAGTGCAGAGCACTTCTCTGTTCCAAGCCTGCCGGTGGCTTAGCGTTACACATGAAGTCAAGTCCCAAATCCCGGTGATGGCCTGCAGTGTCCGTGAGATGTGGCCCACGGCTGCACCTACAAAATTACCTCCCTCACTCTGTCCTTCGTTACCACTGCTCTTGCCATGCTGCCTCCATGTTACTCTTTATGTTTAAAATTGTTACTGGGGGCAAGAACACTTAACATGAGATCAACAGTCTCAGTGAACTTTTAAGAGCCTAATACAGTATTGTAAATTATAGGATTCGGATGCAGCAGTTCCCCAGAACTGATTTGTCTTGCATGCCTGAAGCTTTATTCCTTCCATAGGCAAGAAAGTGGCAGTGCCTTGGCCTCTGTCCTCCGCCTTGTTGGGACACACTTTCCCTGTATCCAGACAGCTCAGTTCTTACCCAGGCAGATCTCTCTGCAAGTATTAATACCTCAGAGAAGTCTTCCCGAGTGCAATTTTTAAATCAGTCCCCCCATCCTTCTCTGCCCACCTCTCTGCTTCATTTTTCTTGATAGCATGCATTATTGTCTGACAATAGACTATGAAATTGTTTATTCTTTATGCAATTATTGTCTATTCCCCACCCCACCCCACCCCCCCCCACACACACACTAGCACAAAAGCTGAGACTATGTGTTTCTCCCTACTGTATTCCCAGGTCCTAGAAAAGTGCCTGGCACTTAAAAGGAAATCAGGAAATGTTTGCAGAATGAGCCAGAAAGTGAACCAATTGCATGTGCACTGACAGTGACCTGACGGGTGAATCATGGGTAACCCACACGATTAGCTGCTTCCTGCTACCAAAATGCCATAGAAAGTATGGAAAATGTAGCTGGGAAAATCCCAAGGGAGTAGATGAGGCATGAGCACAAAAGGGGGAAATATCAAAGAGATGGAGATGGCTGGTTCCCACCCCCCCCCACACACACACTAGCACAAAAGCTGAGACTATGTGTTTCTCCCTACTGTATTCCCAGGTCCTAGAAAAGTGCCTGGCACTTAAAAGGAAATCAGGAAATGTTTGCAGAATGAGCCAGAAAGTGAACCAATTGCATGTGCACTGACAGTGACCTGACGGGTGAATCATGGGTAACCCACACGATTAGCTGCTTCCTGCTACCAAAATGCCATAGAAAGTATGGAAAATGTAGCTGGGAAAATCCCAAGGGAGTAGATGAGGCATGAGCACAAAAGGGGGAAATATCAAAGAGATGGAGATGGCTGGTTCCCACAGCCACGGTGCATGCATGTCGCTAAAGGGCAGGACTGGAGTCATGGATCAGCAGGAGAGGGCTCTAAGACGACCAAGGGATCAGAAACCTGCAGTCGGAGGTTTTAGAGCGGGCTCCACCATACTGACTACATAATCCCGAGAATATTGGATTTCTCTTGACCTAAATACTCTCTTCTATAAATTGGGCATAAAAATAATTGTTCTGACCTCAATAGGCTGTTAGGAGGAATCGATGAAAAATAAATACAGAGGGATAAGTGGATATTAGTTTATTTCATTTCTTGTGGATCTTTATTATGTCTAGTGAGAGTATGTACATTTGGATTTTCTTAAAACTGGTGGTCAACACCAAGCAAGAAGATTAAATTTGTATTTAATCCTGATGTACTTTCTCAGGCAATGCATTTCCTAAGTTTAATGTTCAAGGTAAGAGTCTTTCCTTTTAAAATCCTATATTTGCATCTTCCAAGGTTCTATGAGAGCTCCCTAAATGAGAATTAGAATTTCACAATAAATACACCCACGTTGCTCTATCTGCACCCTGTAAGGTAGCCATGGTCATACGATAATAAGTCGGTCTCCTCGGTTTATTACGGTTTCCAGATACAGTCATGGCTTCACCATGTGACATCCTTCCTATTGAGGTGGAGGGTCTATGTCCTTACTCTGAGACTGCCATGTGTGGAGACTCACATGGAGGTGCTTCAGCTGGAAGTGCTTGGGATACCAGCCTGACACGTAGATTAAGCATTCTCAGGGGAAACCCCAGCCATGAAATCACTGCCAGCCTTCTAGTCGTCCCAGCTGAGGTCCTGCACAGTGGGGACAGGAATAGCCATCTCAACTCTGCCTCATCCGAGGTCCTGACACCCAGAATTCACAAGTCTAATAAAAGAGTGTTTCATGCTGCTCCATTTGGAGGTAATTGTTATGTAACTAGAACAAACCATGCAGCAACTCTTTAGTAGAAGAAGGTTACGATAGGTTCCCCCTCTACAAATGCCAGTTTCTCATAAACTGATTCAAAAAGGCTGACATTGGCCAAAGAGGGAGGAAAGGATATACAACTTTCTTCCTTTGATACACAGCTCCCAAACCGTATGTTTCTAATCAGAACTAGTCTTCACAGCAAGTAATACCTAGGGATAAACTCTTAGATGAGATGAAGCATTTAAAATACCAATTATTTGAAAACAGACTGTCCGAGATAGGACGCTGAACAGTTCTGAGCTTGCATCAAGATAAAATATTTAATTAGCCTATAACCTGACCCTGAGAACATCTGGAGCTTCCAGAAGGGAAGAATTTTCTGTCACTTTTCTTAGAAGACTGCCTAAGGGTGACTGATGTTGGCACAGCAGTAAAGATGGGAAGAAGGGAAGGTTATCAGTGTGGCCTCTCTGAGATTCCAAGTCCACAGATTAGTGAACACGGACAAGTGGAATGAAATCACTCTCAGTCTATTCATCTTTAAAATGCAGAGAGTGGGAGAAATAAGGAGACTGTGATAATCCCTTACTAGGTAGCTGAGACAGATAAATCAAAGTGGCAAGAGACTTAGCAGAAACTTAGAAAACTGCTAAATGTTCTCACTAAAAGTTATCTTATTTTACACAGATAAATGGAGTCATGAGTACTTGACTGGGCAGCAATTCTCTCACGTATTACCTGGTAGCATCTTCCATAAAATGAGCACTAAATGATCTGTTAATCACAGTAGTTTAGTGTTTTAAAATAGTAACATCTAACATTCATTAAGCATTCACTATGGATCAGGTACTATGTGAAATATTTGCAGGGAGGTTGGGACATTTGCATAAGGTCACACAGATAACCATGCAGTTTGGTTCTAGAGCCTGGAGCACCTGCCACCTCATTATACTCTCGGCCAATCATTTAACCTTGACAACAACCATCTAGAGATGAGGCAGTATGAGAGGCTGAGAGAAGGCGGGTGACTTTCCCAAGGCCACACAGTTAAACAGTGATAAACCTCTGCCTTGTTTCCCAATTGACCTGAGATAAAGCCAAGCTGCTATAAAACTTTCCCATTTTGACCAGCAGAGTAATTTCAGATTGAACTGAAGCCTGGTGGATCACAATGCTTTATTAGTTTGGGCCCAGCCACAGTAG